ATTACCACCGACCAGGGTAAACAATTTGAATCAAGGTTATTCAAAGAGTTGACGAACCTGGTTGGCGCTAAGCACTTTAGGTCAACTGCGTACCATCATCAAGCGAATGGTCTGATTGAGCGCATGCATAGGACGCTAGAGACAGCAATCAAGTATCACACCGATAATAATTGGATCAGCTGCCTTCCCATAGCGTTATTAGGACTTCGTACAACCTATAAAGAAGATTTGGGAGCGACGCGTGCAGAAATGATGTACGGCAAAAATTTAAAGTTAAGAGTTTTTGGCCAACCACACGAGCGAAGGCACAGGCGATGAATTTATTGACAATTTAAAAAATGTAATGACGAATCTTAAACCAGTTTCAACATCGAACCATGCTGCGAACAAAGTTTTTGTGCAGCGAGATATCAACAACTGCACACATGTTTTCGTTAGGGATGACTCTGTAAGACCACCGCTCAAACAGTAGTACGACGGTCCGTTTAAAGTCGTTCGCCGTATTAGTATAGACAGACTCAAGAACGCACACGTCTCCGAAGATGACAACGGAACAAGCGATCAAACACAAACTGCAGTACAACAACCAGTTCAGCGACCAGGGCCGACACAGAGAAGCATTCTTAAACCCACATCAGAATCGTCAAAAGAAGAAAAGGTTACAACTGCAACGCGAGTTGGACGAAGGGTGAATTTTCCGAAACGTTTCGCCGACTTCATCTAACGATGAATCTGAAGGGGGAGTAGATGTGGCGGCAAAACGGTTAGTCACCCTACTATTAGCTATTAAAATTTAGTTTGAGATATACTTGTATGTAAAATCTGGTAACACTGTTTTAATCATATTTAATTTCTCAAATTGACATTGTTTTCTTGAAACATTCTAGAATGTAGATACATAATTATCTTTCTTTTTCTTCTTCTACGCTATATTGGTAACCATTCGAATATTGGTAACCATTGGTATTGCTACTCATCTCGCGAAGACGTAGATTATTTATTTATTTATTAAAAAATAGCCTACGGCTAATACAATTATTCTTATATACAAATACAATTTCAAAATTAACAGCAAGTTGTCTATGACATTATAAATTTTAATTATAAACTAAATTATCTTATTGATTTTTGTTTCAGTCTTGCGAATTTACGAGGTACATGCATATTTATATCACTTACGAAGTATACATACATACATACATACATATATATTTATACGTTGCAATATTTCTAGAACTACCGAATACATTAGTTGCGTAGCTGGCGAGGTCTAGTCTCCCGTCTACCTTAATGTGCATCAGGCGAAAAGGCCTAGTTTCCACTCCTCTGCTAACGAGCTTTCGATCATGTTCGGAAAGGCCGAGTTTCCGATCCATGTTCTCGAAGTCACTCATATGCCACTTCTTCGTCGATGTTAGGCAGGCGGAAAGACCTCCTTTCCGCTCTGCGCTGTGGACGGTTGCTGGACATGGTCGAAAACGCCTAGTTTCCGATCCATGCTAGCAACAATGTTCGAGTACTATCCCACATGTACATAAAATATCTGGAAATCAGACTTAAGACTTATTCGTTATTCGTTACATCGCTATTGGCATCTAGCCATAAACCTATATTTTCTCTAAACGATCCGATGGTTCTTGATACTTGATTTTGTAATAATAATAATTTAATAAAAAGCTACTGAAGAGTTTGCTGAGTAAAAAACAAAACCGGTGTGCAAACATTTATTGACATACCAATTGGGACCTACGCTAACACCGTGAGGAGCCAGGAGCTCCCCACACAACTATGATTGGACGACAAGTGTGCAGATAGCCTAAGAGTACGAATTCTTATCGGGTACGTAACTCTAATAGGCCCGTCAGATTGGGTACTCGTACGGCAATAACGGAAAAGTATGCGAAGGAAGTGGCGTACGTACCGTAGAGATACGCCACAATGAAGGTGTTGCATCTGCAAACAAAAACCAGCTGTTCCTTATGGCCTCGTGCTTGGGGTTTACACAAGTCAATATTTTAGAAACAATAGCAAAACATTCACATTTGTTTACTAATATATATACACTTCTCTTGATGTCTACGTCACTGTCTCTGGCTTTTCGAAGACAGTTTGTTGTCTGGATGCCTACTTTACTCAAACAATGTGTAAATTAATGCATATTCTCATTGGTCTTGTCTTGTGTAAACGCGGTGTTATACAACTGTCAGCAGTGACGGACTTACGTGCGTCAAAAGTTGAGTATTGGCCAACGTCCGTTGGGTCCGTCGACGCAAGGGTTGCCAATCTGACGCTCTCTATGCAAACACACACAGTCTACTCAACTGTCCGTTTCATCCTTGAGCGGAACTTACGCGAAGGACCCATTCTGACGGGGCCATAACCAAAAGAAATTTTGTTGACAGGTGGACCAAAATTTATGTAAACGTGTAGGTGAGATGACTAAAAAGTTGTGAATGTGTTTGTAAATCGTTTGATTTTCAGGGGAAAGTGGTGAGCCGTGGCTGGCAGGGTGGTTCCCGTTGAAACACAATAGCGGCGAATGGCGAATTTCCGCCCGGCCGACGTCAGCAGCTTACTTAAGGTTAAACCGGACAATACTGTCATGACAATAGCAATACATGCACACTTTTTCACTAATCCATGCATACTTCTTCAATTGCCTCAATCACTGCCTTGATTATTTTGAAGACAGTAAATCGGACAATGATTTCACGTATGCAGACAATAATTTTGACGTATTGGGCAAAAAAGAAGAGAAATTCATAACAAAATAACTATAATTATTAAAGAGACGCTGGTGTGTATGTAATTTTGTCTCTTCTTTTTTATTTTTACCATCCTTTTATTAGCTCGGGATGTAAGTATGTAATGTAGTTTTTTAAACTATAATTTTATTTAGTTTTTAGATCAAATAGCTCGTGTGAAACGCGTATTTCTGCAACTTATAACTCTACGTTCACGTTCGACATTTTGCTCAAAATGAATTGCCTTAACTATTGTCAGGACGCTTACGCCACCGAGACAATTATCAGCGTTTTTAACAGCTAATACCTATTTCTTTATTGTCTTGACAGCATTGTTCAATATAAAACTCGCCGTTAGATTTTGCTCAAATAGGCACCTAATTGGCAATTAAGAATGTTTTCACCAATTTAAGCCTTCATTGTTATCCAATTTATCATATAAAAATTAAAATTATTAATTGCCAATTAATAATTAATTGGCAGCTAATTTGCGGCAGACTCTTAAGCAGCTCTGCTAGTTATGTATAATTTTGACTTGGAGGAATGTTTATTGAATAAACAGCAATCATCTGTTTGTTTGTGGTCCTCTTTTACAGCTGATTTTCCATCAGGGATGGAAAATTGAATAATAAAATTGTACCTAATTTACAGAAAACTTTGCCTAAAAGTACATATGTAGATATGTAGATTTCTATATAAAGAAATATAGGGTGATAACAATTCCCATCGCTACCATATCAACTTTCGTACTCACATTAAACAAATTTTGGCTATGAAAAGAAACTCTTCGAGCAGCGCGAGACAAAGCTATGTTGTAGAAAAAGTTAATCACTTTCCTCCCATTTCTTCGATCTGACGTTTCAAAAAGAAATGTTTTTTGTCTATCAGGCGAAATCAACTACAGTTGCGTTACTTTGACCACCCTTCAGTATCATTTCTTTGCCCCTTCACAAAGGAGAGAAGCTATTAGACCAGTTGCCCGCACCAGGAAATGTATTGAAATGTCAATAAAAATAAGAACTGAACACGAAGTTATTTAGTTACGTTCCAAATGTACCTAAAATTATATGTTTGTACCGAATGTACTTTGAAACTAAATAAAGGTACGATTGTATCAACTTGTCCATCACTATTGGCAATCCAACAGCTGATTTCGTATCGCTAATTGCGCAGCTGACGTGTGTGTGAACACCAAACTCAATGCCGCAATTTAAAGCATAATTGCATCAGCTAAATGACCTGTTTGAACATAGTCTTATGCCAAAAATTTCGCACATTAAAACACAACTACGACGACAACGAAATCAGCTACTTGAGACAAGGTAAAATTAAAGTTTTTACAAGCAACAAGATCATTAATTTTTAAGAAAAACTAATACAGTATTTTACAATTTCGATTTATAAACCTGTGAATATTTAGCATATGGCCACAACGAACAACAACACAAGAAATAAGTCTATCGCGGCTATAGTGGCTTCTTGCAATAGCGAACCTCGTTATTGTTGGTCTTGTCTTTGTAGCGGCTTTGTCGTTGTTGATGTTGTTGTTGTAGCGGCTACAACAAACCCGCCCAGATCGGTTAATATCTCAGTCGTTGTCGTCAAGCTCAACTAACGGAAGCCCTAAGAAGCGGGCAGCCTCAACGGGGTCGATCAACACTGACAAAGACGTTAGCGTTGTCTCGTTTTTCGGGCATAAGAAGAGATATTTCGAGTCGTGGGGTGTCTCTCCGTATGCCGGACACCCATTTTGCACATCTGCATCTAATCTGCTCAGGTATGACTTTAACCTGCTACAGTAGCCCGAGCGAAGTTGCGTCTCGTCGATGTGCGGAGGTTGTGTGCCTATAACGGCATTCACAGGTCTGGAGTCTACATAACTCGGGGCGGTAGCCCCAGTTGGTGCACACCAAAAGGAGAACTCTATTTGGTAAGGGTTATAATCCTAAAGCGTGGCTAAAGGCCGTTTACGCAAGGAACTGTACGCAAAAATACTGTGGACGCAAGTGAAAATTGTGATTTTTGGACATTTTTGAAGGGGTCCGTAGGGAAATATAGGGAATAGCTTTTGAATTAATTAAAAATCTTAATCTCCGGTCTCGGATTGTTATTATTCGCGTTAAAACGCGTCGATTGAGACCCCTCTTGGTTGTTTTTTAAATTTGGCCTAGTTCCGCTGAAGTGCACTTTTACCTTAATTTCTATGCGAACATTCGCAGAGAATAATTCGCCGGTCGTTGGAATTGTGTTTCAATGGTTATTAAGCGATGGATATGATATCAAATTGTTTTATGTAATGGCAGCTCTGTAGTGTGGTATCGGAAAACGAGTGGTATTGGACTTGTCATTTTCACAATTCAAAGCAAGATGTTCGGGTTAAGAGCCGCTGGGAAGACTGAAAAAATGATTTTGCCGTTTTTAAGCAATTTAAGTGAGTAACAAAATCCATTTTCCGAAATTTCGAGACAATTAATTAAAGACAATGTACAGAAAGATAACTTGTTAAATACTTAACCTAACAATTGACCAACTTGGTTGTTGTAATGGTTATATAATTATGAGGTGAAAGAAATTGAAAAATCGGTACAAGATATAGATAATCAACTTACATAACGTCTCAGCGATTTGTGCTGAGCTGAACTAAAAATCTTAGAGCTAACTAAAATTTGCTGTACTAAAGTTGGATATTTTATTTACTACGTTTAGGCCGTGGTGCTGCTGCTAAAGCTGCTACTGCAGCTGCTGGCGCTAATGGAAAGGTAGCATTGTAAATTTGAGTTTATTATGTAACTACATAAAATGTTTAAAAAATGTTTTAGATTGTAGCAGTTATTGGTGCTGTTGTGGATGTGCAGTTCGACGATGACTTACCACCAATTTTGAATGCTCTGGAGGTGGAGAATCGGGCTCCACGTCTTGTGTTGGAAGTGGCCCAACATTTAGGTGAAAACACAGTGCGTACTATTGCTATGGATGGCACGGAGGGTCTGGTACGTGGACAAAAGGTTCTAGATACTGGCTACCCAATCCGTATTCCTGTCGGCGCTGAAACTTTGGGTCGAATCATCAACGTTATTGGTAAGAAAATCACCAGTATTTTATGTGCAAAGTAGAAGTCTTCCCTCTTCGCTTCACTCCACACTTGCATGGATATTGGGGAAAATTTTCCTTACATTCGGTCCAAATTTGAAAAAAAAAAGAAAAATGAGTTTCTTTAGAATCTAAAAGTGAAGACTCCGGACCGTGGAGGCTTCTAATTAAAAGTTATTAACTGTTAAAGTTGCAAAATTCACCATACAAATTTCATTGATTCCATGCAAGTGCTGGAAATGAACACAGATGTTCGTTCCCACGACAGTCGGGTCTACGTAACCGGAACGACCCCGATTTATATCTGGCCAAGGACTGTCACTCCAGCAACACCACAAAATCTCTGGGGAATTTGTATGCTGTTACAACAACAACAACGCAGATGTTGGTGTTGCCAGATGGTGAAAATAGAAAAAAAAAGTCGTGGTTTTTTTTAGTGAAAAATATCGTTTATTGTTGAGAAAATTTTAATTTTATTTTCATTATTTATCGAAGTATTGATTTTTATAAAAAAGCGGCGCAGGCCATTATTGGGTGGGCTTTAGATTGGTAACCCCGGAGTACAGCATTAAGAAAAATATGGGAGGTAGAGGGGGGTCTAACAGTTCCCTGTATGAAGATTCAAAGCGCGCATCCTTATACTTTTTAAGGAATTTGTTATTAAAGTTTGTAATTTTAACCAACTTGTATGGCACTATTTTACACTTAGGGACAAATTATTTAAAAACTATAAGGTTCCGCGCTTTAAAACTTTACATATACTCCCTTTAGAACCCCCTCTACCCCCCCTATTTTCCTTAATTCCGTACCCGGGGGTTACCATTCTAAAATTTCCCCCCATTATTTATTGAAGTATTAATATTTATAAAAAAAAATTGCGCGTTTTTTTATTGAAAATTTTCATTCATCGAAGTTTATTTTATGAGAAAGCGCCGCAGGCGAAAATTTGTAATAAAAAATCGGGCGATATCTTTTTTAATTTTCATTATTTATCAAAGTATTGATTTTTATGAAAAAAGCGCCGCAGCCGAAAATTTGTAAATAAATAATCGGGTAGTAGTCCACTTTAGCGAAAAAAGGTCAAAATGGACGGAAAAAGTTTGACAGTGGTATCAATTGACGCGTCTTAACGCCAGTAATAACAATCCGAGACCGGAAATTAACATTTCTAATTCATTAAAGGTTTTTGCAAAAAACACTTGTACTTTCCGCACTATGTTTTGATGAATTTCACGCAAATGAATGGAATAAATGAACTCAATTTAACACGTATTTATTAGTTTTTATACATTTGTGATGTTTTAAGTGTACACTTTCGCGAAATTCTGTATTTAATAGCAATATTCAGAAGCTGAAAATCCGCACCACAATCTTTTGTAGTTAATATAAATAAGTTGGAGGAAAACTGGTGCTGCCACTCTATTAATACAATTTGTATTTCAAATTTAAAAATACCCAAATAATGCACAAGAAATATAGTTTTGTGAAAAGGGGATTTCTGTTCCTTTTCTTCGCACGCAGAAGGGAGAATTCTACGTAGTGAAGGTTATAATCTCTAAGCGCGGCCGAAGGCCGCTTACGCTGAAAGGTGTTCTCCTGCAAAAGGTGTTCTGCCCCTTTTCTTTGGCAACACAGAAAGAAGAATTCTACGTAGTGATGGTTATAATCCCTAAGCGCGGCCGAAGGCCGCCTACGCAGAAAGGTGTTCTCTGCAAAAGGTGTTCTGCCCCTTTTCTTTGGCAACACAGAAAGGAGAATTCTACGTTGGGAGGGTTATAATCCCTAAGCGCGGCCGAAGGCCGCCTACGCAAAAAGGAGTTGGATGCACAAACACTTTTTTAATAGAGTGGCAGCAGCAATTTCGCTCCATTTTATTTTTAATAGAGTGGCAACACTAGTTTTCCTCCATGTTATTTATATTAACTACGCAAGATTATTGTGCGGATTTTCACCATAGGAATATTGCTATAAAATACAGAATTTCGCGAAAGTGTACACTTAAAACATCACAAATGTATAAAAACTAATGAATATGTGTTCAGTTGAGTTCATTTACTCCATTTATTTGCGTCAAATGCATCAAAACATAGTGCGAAAAGTGCAAGTGTTTTTTGTGAATAACTCTTTAATGAATAACAAATGTGAATTTCCGGATTATTGTTGTTCGCATTAAAACGCGTCGATTGATACCCGTCTTGAATTTTTTTTATCAATTTTGGCCTACTTTCGCTAAAGTGCACTTTCACCAATAATCGCCCGATTTCTTATTACAAAATTGCATTATTTATCGAAGTACTGAAAAAGCGCCGCAGGCGAAAATTTGCAAAAAAAAATCGGGCGATTTTTTTATTTTTATTTTCATTATTTATCGAAGTATTGATTTTTATAAAAAAAAACGCGGGAAATGTTTAGTTATTGGCCCATCGTTTTTGGGGTGGGGGGCGGAGGGGGAGGAGGCGTGGCAGTGTAAAGTGAAGGAGAATATAAAAATATATTGCTGATGTAGCTGCTTTAAGGATAATAGGAGTGATAAATTTACGCTAATTTCCGAATTTTACAAAAAAGGGCATATTTCAAAACCAAATTTGTAAATAAATTAGTGACCCAAAATTACAATAGTGAATGTTAAAATAATGGGTAGACCCTTGGCTACAAGTGTGGCAAATTTTTTTTGGATCGGGTCACCTCTTTGGACGCAATACCCCGAAATAGGTGGGCCACTTACTAAACAGTACCCAAAAATGCCGCAGGGGAAAATTGTTAATAAATAATCTCGTGATTTTTTATTTTAACTTTTCATTATTTGTCGAAGTATTGATTCACCATTAAGCCATTTTGATGTTTGCTTGTTTACTTTGTTGAAGAAAAGTAGAAGACTATTTAAGCAAAAATTTACAAAATACACGTGACCAAGATCGTATATTTTAGAAAATATAAGTGTCAAGTGCTTTTTTTATATGAAACTTTGCTAGTGAAACTGCGAAGAATTTAACAACAAAATAGCTAAATACCATTACTAATAAAGTGAAAAGACTGATAAATAATGTAATTATATACGTTTCCTAACATCCCCGCCAAGTTTCATGACAAAATTCGTGATATTTTTGCGAAAACACCCAAATAACCGATGTAATGGAAAGCCAACCCATGAACTTTTTGACATCGCTCTCACGAGAAAAAGAGTTTCGTATCATATTAGGTCCATTCCTTATCTTTTCGGACTAAAATCTGAAAAGTGTCAAAGTGCAAGAGCGTAAGCAAAATGCGCTCACTAAAAGAGAATAACAAGAAAAAGTAAAGGAACGCAAAAAACCAAATTTTTAGTCCAAAGAATGGCAACAACTAAACTAACGTCAAGCATGAATAGAAATGTACGTACAATACACATTCACACACGCACAAGCACAAGCACAATAAACACTATATCAATTATTTTTTGCCTCCTTCCACTTTCAATTCCCTTTTTTAACCGACTTCCAAAAAAGGAGGAGGTTATCAGTTTGTCGGAATCTTTTTTTTTTTTTTTTTTTATGTATGTTACCGCATAACTTTGGACCACATCAATCGATTTCGATAATTCTTTTTGCATCGGAAAGGTAGTGTCTCTGAGGTGGTCCCATACTAATCTGGTTAAGATCCGATCAGCGGATCATGAGATATATATATATATATTTTTTTTTTATATGGGAGTTGAAGTCGGTTTTTTTTTTGCTAAAAATTACTAGTTTACTTTTTAGATTACTCTCACTTTTTGGGTATTCTTTAATTTCCGTTAATTTAAATTCAGTTGAGTTCGACACTTTTCAAGATTTTGCCAGCAAAAATTCTTCTGACTAAATCTGAATACTCCGGACTAAACAGAGTCACTCTCACTGAGTGTTGCTCTCTCATTTTTGCTGTCATTTTCGAATGAAGGAACGCTTTTTGGAGTAAATCTGACTACTTCGGACTCTTTCTGACTATTTCTGGGAGATAAGGAACGCAACTATTATCCATGACAAAAGTTTCGTTACGTGCCCCCAAACTAAAGTAGCTGTTGGACGTGGCAAGTGCCAGTCCTTTTAAAAAGGCTGTCGGACTCAAAAATTTCCAAAAGTGATAGCAGGAGCTGTTAAGAGTATAATCCGTCGTATATTCGATTTTGCAACAAATCTGAATTCCAGTATTGTGTAATCCGCACATTCGTAATTCCCAATGTTGGTATACCGAAATCCAACGTAGCTGTCCATTCGGGAAATTTTTAGTTATTTTTAAAACGATTTGTGATTTTTTTAGTAAAGTGTAGATTTTTGTATTCTATAAATAACTAAACCGTACTCGTCGATTTGAAGTATTTTGCGCAAATTTTCTACGAAGAACAATTTGAGTCGTAGCTGAAAGGATTTTACAAAAATAATAAACGTGTATAAGCTCACAAACAACTTTAATTACTGAATTTACATAGTTGTTGTAGCGGCGTTAGTTGTGTCGTGTTATCCGGGCATTCGAAGAGATGTTTCCGAGTCGTGGGGTGTCTATGTATGGCGGACACTCATTTGGCACATCTGCACCTAATCTGCCCAGGTATGAGTTTAACCTGCTGTAGTAGCCAGAGCGAAGTTGAGCTATTGTGGTTCTAGTCTCCCGAGGCAGACGAAGCTCTGTCTCGTCGATGTCAGGTGGTTGTGTGCCTAGAACGGTATTCGCAGGTCTGCATTCTACTATAAAACATAGCGACATGTGTCACATCATGCAAGTGCCAGTTCATATTATGTCGCGCATACATGTTTCACAATAACATATGAAGACACTGTCGAATAATTGAAATCAAATCATGCATCAAATCTATGTATGTCAACACAAGCAACATATGTGACATAGTCAGCATGTTGTTGTTGTTGTAGCGGCTACTGAGCCCGGGGCGGTTCATCCATCAACGTTGTCGTCTATTTCAGCTAGGGGGAGGCCCAGGAAGTGTGCTACTTCCAAAGGGGCTGTCCATAGGGACA